AAAATTAATCATGGTTCATATGATCAGGAATTATTATATGCTATACCTGATGCTTTAGCTATTATTAGGACATTGTAAACTTGACTCCCTAGAACCTAAGGGAAATCATCTTGCTGACATTTTTGCTAAGAATGCTGCCCTTAAAGGCATCAGCTACAGTCCAATTCTGTCATGGTCCAAGGAGGTGTTTCCCTAGTTGATACCTTAGAAAAACTGGCCAATAATTAGCTTCTGAAAAATAAAAATGAGGTTGGAAATCCAACAACTGCTGGTTTGATAAAAAAAAAAAAAGACAGGCCCTGGCTAGCCTAGCTCAGTGGATTGAGAGCGGGCTGCGAACCAAAGTGTCCCAGGTTCGATTCCCAGCCAGGGTACATGCCTGGGTTGCAGGCCATAACCCCTAGCAACCCAACCGCACATTGATGTTTCTCTCTCTCTCTCTCTCTATCTCCCTCCTTTCCCTCTCTAAAAATAAATAAATAAGTAAATCTTAAAAAAAAAGACAAAGCTCTGATTTGGACCAAATAGTAACCCAGTCCTACCAGAAACTCTACAATTTCTACTCCTGACTACTGTACCTACATGAAACCATAAGCTACTGACAACATGATAGTATTTATGAATCAATATCGGTGGAGAGATATTAACAAGGCCACAGAAAACGGCCTATCTTAAGTCTCCCACCTGGGCAAAAAGTACAACCCAGAAAAGCCTATTCCCACTGCCTCTGGACAATTTAAATTACCTTTGGCAAATAGATTTTATACAGCTTCCCTTGTTTCATGGATATATATATATATATGTTTTAGTCATCATATGTATGTTTTCTCACTGGCCTGAAGCTTTCCCTTGTAGATAAGCTAATGCCCCTACAGTGGCTAAAGCCCTGTTGGAGGAGATTATTCCTATTTGGGGAACTCCTTTTGAACTCCACAGTGATCCAGGAACACATTTTACTGGTCAAGTGCTACAATAAGTCTATGCTATTTGGCTAGTTCTACATCATTTTCACGGTGCTTTCAATCCTTAATCTTCAGGCCTAGTCGAATGTACTAATGACATTATTAAGGTTCAATGGGCAAAATCTGTAGAAGCTCCTCAAATATCCAGCCAAAAGCATTGCCATTATTTCTTTTAAATCTCAGATCTACCTCTTTTGGCACTTATAAGCTTTCACCTTTTGAGATAATTACAGGATACCCCACTCATTTGGCTCCTGCTTCTTTGGACCCACATTTGGGAAAAGGAGACATACTTCAATATTGTAAAGCTTTCATTGCTTCTAATGAAAATAATCGTGCTCTGGGAGAGCAATCTTTGTGCAGTGCACTCCAAGGAAATGAACAACTTCAAATCCACAGCTTCCAACCTGGAGATTTTGTTTACTGGAAAAGGCATCTCATGAAAGATTCCCTCCATCCTTGCTGGAAGGGCATCAGGACTGCTGACTAACCCTTGCATTGCTAAACTCCAGGGAGTAGACTCTGGATACATGTGCCACCGCTAGAGAAGGCACCAAACTCTGGCCGCAACTGCACACAGTCTGATAACCTCAAACTAAAGCTGTCAAAAGTTAAAGCAGGCGACCTCTGAAGGAAATGAATTGCCAAGAAGATTGAATCAGGCCTGTACAACTCTTTTCTTACTATTAATTTGATTTCAGTTTTCTCTTTTCCTTGGAAGGAACATGCCCTTGTTTACATTTCCTAAGCCATTGTGAAAGGAGGGAAAACTGTGGTTATTGAATCTGCTATCGGGAACTTAGATCTAGGCCTGGCTGGTGTAGCTCAGTGGATTGAGTCCTGGCCTGCAAACCAAAAGGTTGCTGGTTCAATTCCCAGTCAGGGCATATACCTGGGTTGCAGGCTAGGTGCCCAGTAGGGGGGTGCACGAGAGGCAACCACACATTGATGTCTCTCTCCTTCTCTTTCTCCTTCCCTTCCCCCTCTCTAAAAAGAAATAAATAAAATATTTTAAAAAAGAACTTTGGTCTATCCAAGATATTAATGGTCCTTGTTTCATTATCTACACAGTTGAACTACTAGTTTAAATTCATCATGTAGACCATTGTGTTGTTCTATTTTGAATTCTTCTTGCTGTTAAGTTCTGAACCTAGTTCCTGTTAACCATGGACACAAGCCATTCTCGATCATGCGCTTTTCCTCTGCTGTGAGAGACAACACCTAGAAGAGGGCCTTCCTGACATAGACAAAGGGCTGCTGAAGTTAGAAGACCTGGCCATTGATCAGTGATGTTTTCAGAGAAAGGGCTCAATCAAAAGGAGAGAATGACAAAAACTAACTGGAACTTTAAGAAAACATAATCAGTCAAGATGACCCTATCCAGCAAAGCTATCATTTAGAATGGAAGGGCAGATAAATTTTTTCCCAGGTAAGGTCAAGTTAAAGAAGTTCATCATCACCAAGCCCTTATTATGTGAAATGTTAAAGGAACTTCTCTAAGAAAAAGAAGATTAAAAATATGAACAATAAAATGACAACATACTCATAGTTATTAACAACCGAACCTAAACCAAAACCAAAAACAAACTAAGCAAACAACTAGAACAGGAGTAGAATCACAGAAATGGAGATCACCTGGAGGGTTATCAGCGGGGGAGTGGGAGGGAAGAGGGGAAGAAAGGTACAGAGAAGTAGCATAGATGGTAGGTAGAGGATAGACAGAGGGAGGTTAAGAATAGTATGGGAAATGTAGAAACCAAAGAACATATACATGACCCATGGACATGAACTAAAGGGGAGGAATGCGGGTGGGAGGGGGTGTGCAGGGCAGAGAGGAATAAAGGGGGGACATGGAACAACTGTAATACCATAATCAATAGCATATATATATAGTATAATCAATAGCATATATATATATATAATTTTAAAAAGGGCCTATGGGAGGAGCTAGGGCTTCCAGAAGGTCTCACACTCTACTTAATCAGAAGACCTTGACACATGAGGACCCTACAGGAAGAACTCTATGTTTATAATAAAGCTCTATGGTTCTAATTTCCCCTTTCCGTAACTTCCTCTCCTTTATAAAAATAATCTCGGCACACAGGCCGGAGCATTCACATTACCTGTCATGTGTGCCTGCACGGGTTTCTAACCCTTTCTTCTTCCCAAAGAAATCCTTTTTGGTGACCAAACACCTCGTTGATGTTATGTTTTCAGTTGACACTGACAAATCGTGGGATTTTTCCAAATCACTGTGAGTGACCATGGCTGTAAAGGTAGTGGTGGCTCTCTTCCTCCCCCCGTTAAGAAATATTCTCCTCGAGAGCAGGGATTGCGTAGATTGTGCACTGTTCTATCCTCAGATCCTAGGCCAGGGCTGAGCCTCTCTCTCTTACTGTCTGTTAACAACCTAATGACATCAGGAAACAACAAAAAACAATCTGGACTTGGGGCCTATTAGGAGAGCAGGAACTAGAAAGCGTTATTATGTATGTGAAACAGATACACATTGCTATTTTTTGTTGTTTAGCATACAGTTTGTTGCATAATACATATGCACTATTCTAACCTTTAATATTTATCACATTCTTCTTACCTTGTTTTGTCGACTTTTATACCTACCTTATGTCTTTGTTATTGGTCTAAAGGCTACTTGGAGGATAAACAAATGTTAGGAAAGGAAGATTTTTGTTCCGTCCACTGTCGTGTCCTAAACTGTCAAAACAGTGCTAGATTAGGGCCAGACTTCCTGAGTTTTGGGATATCGGATAATTATTATCCGATTATTATTATCTCAATTATTATCATGGGGAAATAAATATACGACCTAGTTCTGGTCTTGCAATTAGGGGTGAGTGGTGGATAATTGCTTTAGTACAGCCAAGATACAATCTACATGAGAGCTGAAATTGTCTTTTTTAGTCAACTGACAGTGTTGTGGCAAGGGCCCAGTCTCCCTGACTGCAAGGAGTTGTTAGAAGTGGTACAGGTACCTAAAACAGAAACTAGTATTCTAAAGTCAGTGTTATTGTTTTTGTTGCTGCAATCCGTTTCCCAATTAGAAAAAAAAAAAGGATCCCTACAACAAAAATAAAAGTAATTTCCACGTTTAAAATTTACTCTTCATTTGGAATTTTTTAAAACTCAAAAATCATTGCTGGTATTGACTATGGTTACATTTGCAGTAAAGATATAAAAGAGGCCAGATTTGCACCAAATTCACAGTCATGTCTGCCTCTGCAGAGAAAGGAAACATTATGGTATTGGGAATTTATTATTTTTATTCCTTAATGATTTTATTTATTTATTTTTAGAGAGGGGGAGGAAGAGAGGGAGAGAAACAGCAATGTGTGGTTGCCTTTCACCGGCCCCCCCACTAGGGAACCTGGCCCACCAACCCAGGCATGTGCCGACTGAGAATTGAACCCACAACCCTTTGGTTAGCAGGCCTGGCACTCAGTCTACTGAGCCACACCAACCGAATTTATTAATTTTAATGCTCTTTTTTATGTCAAAAGAAATGCAATTTTATTGTTTTTTAATTTTATTTTAATCATTGTTCAAGTACATTTTTCTGTCCTTTACTCCCATTCCAGCCCATCCACCCAGCCCTCCCCACCTCCCTCCCATTTCCACCCCCCTTAGTTTTTGTCCATGTGTCCTTTATATTTGTTCCTGTAAACCCTTCCCATTCTCCCCTGAAATTCCCTGCCCTCTCCCCTCTGGTCACTGTCAGCCTGTCCTGTATTTCAGTGTCTTTGACTATATTTTGCTTGTTTCTTTGTTTTGTTGTTTAGGTTCCTGTTAAAGGTGAGGTCGTATGGTATTTGTCTTTCACTGCCTGGCTTATTTCGCTTAGCATAATGCTTTCCAGCTCTAACTTTAAAAAAATATAAAAATATAGCTAAAACAAATATACCCAAATGATGAAATCTGTTAATTGTAGATGAAGGTAAACAAGTTTTTGTTATATATTTCATACTTTTCATATTATGTTTTAATTTTTCAAGTAAAATACAAAGAGAATTGAAAACAGCATTATAGCTTATGACTTTATTAATGTTTTCAGAATTGAACAGATCTAGGACATATGCATATGCAACACACAAGTACATAAAGCATCTGAATAAAACAATTGAGAAGCATGATAATAGATAAAACTTTAAACTTTGTATTTCACAGCGAATATATATTCTATTTTAATAAAAAGCTTGAATAAACCAATTATCATTGAAGAGATAAGAAAGCTGATTAAAGATCTACCATCAAAAGTGTCACTGGGATTATTAGACTGTTGTACAACTTAATACTAGCTAACTTTTAAACAACAAATAATTCTAATGCTATTTAAAATATTCCAGACTACAGGTAAATATTGAAAACTCACCAATTAATCTTCTAAGCTAACACAATTTTAATTTAAAATCTTGATAGAGACAGTGCAAGAAAGAAAATACAATTTTGCTTTGAAATACAGATGCAAAAATTCTAAATAAAATGATGGCAAATAAAATCCAGCAATATACCATATGATTATGACACCATGACCAAGTAGGATTTATTCCAGAAATACAAGTTTGGTTCACTATCAAATTCCTACCACTGTAACTCATTATGTCAACAAATTAAGAGGAAAACCCATGTAATTTTATCAATAGATGCTGAAGAGTCATTTGATAAAATTCGTGAGCCACTTTTAGTAGTAATGCTACATAAAACAGGAATAAAAGAAACTCCCTAAACATGTTAGTAGTTAATGACTACCAACAGCCAAAAGCAAATGTTGTGCTAATTAATAGGGAATGCTAAGAACCGGATGGACATGCCTGCCATAATCACCATTCAACATTGCTTTGGAGAATCCAGCTAATGTAATAATAATCAATACAAACAACATAAAATTATCTCAGAATTATCTCTAATTGCAGGAGAAATGATTGTATATGTAGAAAGTAAAAAATATTTTATTTAAAAAACCCAGTGTAATTTATAGGATTTAGTGAGCTGATTAAATGAAAGTAATTTTTTTTTTAATTCCATAGTCTGTCTCTATTGGCCAGAATAACAAATTACAAATGAACAGGAGAAAATATACCATTCAAAATGTCAAAATATGACAAAAACTGTAAAACTACTTAGAAATAAATGCAATCTGATATGATGTACCTAGATGAAGAACATTCTAAAAGCAAAAACAAAAGATTTTAATGATGTACTCAAACTCTTGAAAGTATTAATATTACTAACATAATCCTCTAAATACATATGAAAATGTAATTCAATTTTTTAATGTGAAAAGAAAGCCTTTAATCTTCATATGAAAGAATGAATATCTAGGACAAGTTGTATAAAAGAAGAAAAAAAATCAAATGAGAGGTAACTTGCTTTACCAGAGTCCAAAATTTAAGGTTAAGCCACTATAGTTAAAATAATGTGAACTGGCTCAGAAACTTTAAAATGGATGGTTGATATAATAAATGTGATAGCATCAGGTAGCCAATATAAACAAAGTGTATAGTTGGAGATCTATTTAATATCATATACAAAAGAAATTCCAGTTGGATCAAACAGCAAAACCTCGACTTTTTAGAAAAAAAAAATGACTTGGGGTTGGGGCATTCATCTGAAAAAGACAGAAAACCAAAAACCCAAAAAGAGGAAAGTAGTCTACCTAAAAAATTTTAAAAAATTAAAAGATACATTAGTAAAGTCAAGATTAATGATAGGCTGGAAAAAATCATAATATATATGGGCTACAAATGATTAATATTCATTATATAGCAAATATAGTGAGCATTCTTACAAATTTATAAAGGAAAAAATCAATGATTCAATAGATAATAGAACATAGGAGAAGAAATACTGGCAAGTCATAAAAGAGAAAAGTCCAAAAAGCAAAACAAACATCCCCCCTAAAAACAAACAAATAAAAAAACCTCACTGAGTTTGCCAATTAAAGAAACAATACAACAAATTTTTTTGCCTTTCAGATTTGCAAACATTACAGAGTGCTGGAGAGAATGCTGGAAAATGAGAACTTTCATTTGGGATGGCAATTTTGTAACAGCTTTCAAAATTAAAATAAGCCTACACAACAATCCCATTTCTAGGAATCTAACCTATAGAAATAAAAAGCACCAGTATGGATTGAGTAGTGTTATGGGGAAACACAGAAAGGAAATAACAAATGACCATTAATAACAGACTGGTTCAATACCGTTTTGGTACATAAATATGTACTGTGTATGCAGCTGTTGGAGGGAGGAAAAGATGGAGGGAGGAGAGAAAATGGGTGATTCATTTAATAAATGGATGGCACAATCAGGTATCCAATGTGAACAAAATGTATAGTTAGATCTGTCTTATACCATATACAAAAATAAATTCCAGAGCGAGAGGGAAATGGGTGCTGTATTTAAATAAATGCTATGACGTGATCAGGTATGTAATGTGAAGAAAATGTATAACTGAACCTGTATCTTAATACTATATATAAAAATAAATTCCAGAGGGAGAGGAGGAGAGGGAAAGAAGGTGAGAAAAAGGGAGAAGGAGATCTGGAACTATAGATCGGAAGGGGTTTCATGGATATGTAAAGTAAGGAAAGCAATTATAGAGAAATGATGTGGCTTGTCATTTTTACAGAAACAACTGCAACAAACTTTTTGTAAGAGGTTGGGAAAAATGTAGGGTATACACCATGTTCTTAACACTTGTTATTTGTGGAGAAGAAAGAGGGAAGGTCAGGGAAAGGGGGGGGAGGATATGGTGTGGGGTTATACCGTTCAATCTTGTTTATCTAGTCTTTCATTGTTCCAAAGGTATTGAACACTTTTCAGTTTTCTACTAGTACCCAATTTATATTTTTCAATTACATAACAAGGCAATGTCATAGGTACCAAAGTACACTTGGGCAAAACTGTGGAACTAGTCAATGTAAGATCTGGAGGCACAATAAGTAATGAGTGATATTAAATTCCTGAATCTCTGACACCAAAACTGTTCTCAAAAGTTCACGATTACAAAAAACACGACATACTTTACATTTAATAGTTCCACAAATTTTGCAAAGAACACAGCATGAATTTAGGGAGTTTTCACCAAACCATACACATAAATGTGAATATCATCATCAAACTTAATGAAGTAGACGGACGGCTTGGCCACCACTTGATGGATGAAGATGCCGGTTCTCTTGGACCCATCATCTTTGGCGTGTTCCACCTGCTTGCCCACGAGGCTGTCGACCACTTCTCCAGGCTCCCGTTCTGCTGTAGGGAAGTAGTAGTTGGAATCTGGAATGATGCGCAGGTCACCATCTTTGTAGTCATCCAGGAGCGTGTACATGTAAAGCACAGGATCTTTCTCGTAGGTGATGTAAAACCAAGTGTCCATCACGGGGGCTCGCGCCAGCACCATGCCCTTCCATTCATCTTTGCGACCGTGCTCGCCCTCAAACACATGCCCCACTGCCTTGCCAATCAGGGAATCTGCGAGGCGGGAATCGATGCGAGGAGTTGGCACTCTCTCGGGAAGGATCTCGAGCGCTAAAACTCTCTTATCTCGGTGCAGTTCCAGCCCGTACACGCTATCCTTGCCATCATACTTGATGATGTAGAGCGTGGGCTTCACGGAAACCTGCTCGAGCACGGTGCCCTTCCACTGCTCCACCGGCTCGTTGCCTTCCTTCCAGCCGTGTTGAATGCGGCAGCCCACGATGTTCCTGCGGGTAAGGAAAGTGGGCTTTCGCCGCTGCTTCCTGTGGGTGTGCCTCTTCTTCATCAGGTATGCGGACACACCATCTACACCCATCGGAGGCACAGTTGGGGGCGACATGGCTCGGGGTTTCAGGACGCTCTGGCGAAGCCTGCCACTTGCCCGATGAGACCGAGACAAAAAAGCAGCCCCGTGCAATAGGAGATCTGTTTGCGTGTGATCTCTCAAGTCCCGATCAGTCCTGCCTGCACCAAGCACAAGGATCTCAGCCAAGGCTCGGTAGAAAACGCTGGAAGTGTAGTGTCGGGTGCTGGGACGGCGCGTGGGCCTCTCGAGAGAGTCTCTCCCGCCCAGGAGGGGTGTCTGCAGCAGTGGCGGTTGCCGCAGGAGATGGCGCGCTAGCGCGTACCGACTGCCCGCGCCTCGCTCCCGCTCGGACTCCCAACCCGAACGAAGTCCCAAATTGAGCACTTAGCTGTTCTGGACGGTGCTGCGGCTGGCAAACGGCGATGGAGAAGGAGCCCGCGGCAGAGGCAGGCAGGCGATCAGAGGGCTGGCTGCAGCGGCGGCGGCGGCGGAGGGCGGCTCGTCCCCGGCGGGTCCGAGGGGCCTCAGCTTCGCAGCGCTGTTCTGCTCGGCCTAGCTCTGGCGCCAGGGCTTTTGCCGCTTCGGGAACCGGACCTCCCGGAGCCCGCCCGCGCCTCGGCCCCGCCCCCCGCCATTCCCCCTTCCGCTCCGCCCGCCCGCAGCAGCAGCAGCAGCAGCAGCAGCAGCAGGGCGGGGCGGGGCGCGCACCCGCGATCCGTCCACAGAGTTGCAGGCGCTCACTCCTTCATTTCCTCACGCGCCCCCCGACCGCTTCCCTCCAACCGGAGCCAGACTGGCCGGCTCCCCTCCTCCCTTTCTCTGGCCGCCTGTCGCCCGCCAGCCTCCTCCACAGCCGCTCCATCTGCTTTCTATCTTCCAGGAATTCCTCACAAAGCCTTAAAAAAAAAAAAGAGTCATATCCAACACACACACATACACACGCAGAGTTTGTACATACAAATTATTTTCTTTCAGTTAAAGGGATATGAGACCGGAGCAGAAAAAAAGCCTCTGTACAGTCCACCATCTTGAGCCAAACTCTCCTTTATATTTTGTATCTAATCGTTCCGTTGGGCTTCTTTTTAGAAAAACCGATCTGTTTATTTTCGGAATGGAAAAGAAATGTTCGGACATGGTGCAGCTTTTCTACAATTCAGTGAAATAAAACACGAAACTAACCCCCAATATCCTTAATCGTACCATCTCGACATACACAAAATGTTACAATAATGTTGCCATTTCTCTTTCACTAATAAATCTCTGCATATATTTCACAAAATTGTGAGCAGATTTGATAAGTTTATAGCTTGTTTTTTTTTTCATTTATGTCAAACATTTTCCAAGGTTATGGAATATTCTGAAAATGTGATTTTTTAGTGGTTTCATAATGTTCCTTTGTATAGATAGATGGTCCATTATTTATCCTAAATGGCCTATCACGGAATGCATAATTAAACTAGTTTACATTCACATATGGATGTATTGAGCTACTATCAACCATATTTTCAAAGAATATTTAACAACCTGAAGATCTACATATGAGAAAACAACGATCTGTGAAAAAGCAGGATATTGAAACAAAATTGTGGCCCCAATTTTGCACAGTTAAAAAAGAAACGTTTTTGCTATATGCATTTGTGGTTTTTCTGATTATACATGTAGTACATGCTCAGCTGGAAAATCCAAAAGATAAGCAAAGTGTCCATAATTTCCCTACCTCAAGTCACAGGGCTGTTACGAGGATTAAATGAGAATGCCTGTAAAACTTTTATTCCTGTATTCTACTTTATAAGATGGCAATAAAAACCTGGGAAGTGCAGGCCCCTCATTCCCGTTCCTTCACCCTTCACTGGTGAGAAGACACCATACCATCACGTGTAAAAAAACCACAAAAAGGCTATTAATTCATACAGAAATGTAGGAAAGCAGGGGAGAGCACTCCAAGGCACCAATACTTGCTGACTCTACATTTCACTATCTTTCAACACAGGGACAGAAAAACCTCGTTCTCATACTATTGGATAGCTGATTGGGCAAAATGTGTGTGGATTCCCCAACTCCCCATGTTTTCAAGGCCAAGGACTTCAGATAACTGTCCAGTACTGTGATACAAGAAATTAATTGCAAGGAAACAAGAAAACTACATGTACTAAAAGGTATTTCCAAACTCTTTAGAGTAGCATTGTGGTGTATACTTAGTCACACCTATATGTGACCTACACACAGAAAGTCAGAAGGTATGTGTAAATGTCTTGTCATTAACATTTCACAAATAATGTCCCCCAGGTAATCCCCCAGGACAAAGATATGCCAAGCTCTTTTTGCTTAGAAGAGTAGTTGACAAGTGACAAAAGACCACCCACGGGGCACACAAAGGCAGGGAAAACAATTTACTCCCGGCTCTTTGGTTGTATACTTTAATAAAGTTCTTGCTCACAACCCCACAAAGCAGCCTGAGGAGATAAAAGAATTTTTAATATTCTTTCCTCTTTAAAACTATAATGTTGATGTTTAGATTATTCTCTAACATTATGGATTCAGGGGCCTTACCACACTATGATATAATGTTTACTTTGTATGTCTGCCCACTAGACTATAAACCCATTCGAGAAAGGCCTTTTATCTCACAACTCAAGTGCCTTACACAGAATAGGTACTCAATAAATATTTGTTAAACGAATAAATAAGTGGTTTCAGCTGTTCTGTTCCAACCCAAAGAAATCCTCCCAAATGAAACAAGTAGTCTTACACAAGCCTCTGAAGACGGGGGCCCTGGTGACTGAAACGCTCCCACAGCAGCTTTATTTATTCTTTCAAAACATCCACATCACTGACCCTGTGAATACGTGTCCGTTAAGTCTGAAAATGACTAGGGGAGCACCATCAACCTGCAATAGATGTATATAATATCTACCTCAAAGGGCAGCTGTGAAGATTGAATGTGGTGATTACAAGTGAGTATCTTAGCACATGAACTGATTCATGCTAGGTACTCGAAGTCTCCTACCTCAGCGCTTTCCTCTTATCAGGACTGTCTACAAACCACAGAGTTCATGCCCCACCTCTGAACTTACACTCCATTTTACACTCAAGCCCTCCCGGTCAGGGTGTGAGGGTGAATCAAGAAGGTGCTGTTGACAGGACTTTGTCCCATAGAGCCCGTTTCAGAGCAGTCTTTCAAATGCTGCGAGTTCCCAGAGGCCTAAAATCTGGATAAATGAAAAAGTATTTAAAGTAATTTTGGGAGATACGGTGTTAATTTGTAGGTGGAGGGGTGGTAGAGATAAGTGTCAATTTCATTACTTCCATCGTACAAGGGAAATTATAATACATGCCAGGAAGCATTGGGTTGGCCATAAAGTCCGTTTAGTTGTGTTTTTTTCCCATAAAACAAAAGATACATTTTTCATTTTCACAAATAACTGATTTGATGTGGATATTTTGAGTATGTCGTCTCTCTCCTGCTACTGGCTTCTAGTGGGTAGAGGCCAGGGGTGCTGCTAAACATCTTCCAATGCATAAGAGCCCCACAGCAAAGAATTATTTGGCCCAAATATAAATAGTAGCAAGAAACGTCGCAAACCACTTTTGACACGTTCAACCAATCACAGCACCTTCTCCATACACTGCACAAATAATTTTTTTGCGTTTCCATTGCATTTTTATCTTTCTTGTAATGATAAAGCATAATATGCTGAAAATGTTGCATATCTTCTTCCATCTTCAGTATTAAAATGGTTGCACAAAAATTCACCAATTTTGCTAAGTTTTTTTAAATGCACACTGATATGACAGCTGCCCCAATACAATCTAACAGAATTGTTTCAAATGAAGTTAAAAACAACTAAACACTACTAGAGCCATTGTATGGAAAAAACTAAACAAACTGTTCTGCCAACCCAATACGCATTAATCACTGGGGACCCAAAGGAAGTAGTGATTTGTTATGTGTGGCTGGGGAAGTTGGAAAAAACAACTTGAAAGTATAATAGAACAAAAGGAAGACATTCAAAAGGTGGTACAATAGTGAGGCCTTTTCAGGGTAAGTAGAAAATAGCTGGAGGGAAGGCACAGAGAATGCATAGACATAGGATATGCGCAAAACTGGTCAGGCACTTGTGGCTGGAGCACAGCATTTGCCCGGCTAAGGAATAGGGGATGTGGTTTGTGGTGGGAAATAAGGTTAGTCAACAGCCTCAAATGCAGGAAATTGATCTTATATCCACTGCTGCATGGAAGCAGATAATGTTCCAGTTCCTCTGACAGTGTAGTGCCAGCAGGACCAAAACAGAGCTCATCTTCCATGTCCTTTCTAGCAGAAGCAGGCAGTGCTTCCCTAAGTAGAAAATGTTTCCCTGTCAGAATGTATAGTGATGCTGATCACAGAACTGACCTTCCATTCCCCCCTCAGCAGAAGCAAGCAGGCTGGTGCTGTGATTTCTTTGCCAGAGAAGTCTCAATGAAGTTGAACAGTAAGCTGTCCCTCCACAGTCATCTAGCAGTATAAGGTCGTGGTAGTGACCTTTATTTTATAGCCTTTCTTCACTCACTCTTCCCATATCGACACAACATCAATTAGAGTAAGCAACATAGAGTGAGGCAGGTCCATTTACACAATGGAATACTACGCAGCAGAAAGAAAGGAGCTCCTACCCTTTGTGACAGCATGGATGGAACTGGAGAGCATTATGCTAAGTGCAATAAGCCAGGAGGTGAAAGACAAATACCATATGATCTCACCTTTAACTGGAACATAATCAACAAAACAAACAAGCAAGCAAAATATAACCAGAGACATTGAAATGAAGAACAATCTGACAGTAACCAGAGGGGAGGGGGGAGGGGATAATGGGGTGAGATAAGGGGGACGGGTTTTCAAGAACAACTATAAAGGACTCATGGACAAAACCAAAGGGAGGTGGGATCAAGGGTAGGAGGTGGGGATGGCTGGGGTGGGGGGGAGAGATGGGGGGAAATGTAGACAACTGTACTTGAACAACAATAAAAAAGAACATTTTGATATGTAGCTATATATTAACCAATAAAAAAAATAAAACAATTATGGGACATTTACACAGTGGAATACTACTTGCTCATAAAAAAGGGGAAAAATTTACCCTTTGCAATAGCATAGATGGACCTGGAGAACATTATGCTAAGTAAAATAAGCCAGTCAGAGAAAGTTAAATATCATATGATTTCACTCATCTGTGAAATCTAAATGAGCCAACTAAACTAAGAAGCAAAATAGAGACTGATTCATACATAGGGAGCAGGATGACAGCTATGGGTGGGGGTTGGCTAGAGGAATGGAAGGGAAAAAAAGAGAAAGAACTCATGGACACGTACACAGTGTAGTGATTGTGCAGGGGATGGGGTTGGTGGAGGTGAAAAAGGGTACGGGGGGTAAATGGTGATGGAAAAAATAAAATAAAATAAAATTAAATTAAATTAAATTAAATAAACAGCATTAAAAAAGGAAATGGTAAAAGACATGAACAAATATTTCACAAATAGGAATGAATAAATACATGAAAACTCATTAGCCATTAGGGAA